TTCGGGGAGGAGGATTAATTACATAGCCAAAAACCCATAAAACGATAAATAAGAGAAAATCCTAATTAAGCTATTACATACCATGAGCAGTTACATTAATATCGCAAAAAATAGTAAACGCGCGCAATGAATAGAGAACGAGAAAAATTAGGGTTTTGACCCCGTCTAAACCTAATTGAAAAAAAAATCATATTCTTGTTGTTTTTTTGATTATTTTGAGAAAATAAGGTTTTAATTAAACAAGTACAAACATAATTACTAATTAATTTAAATTAAGAAAAATAATTAATTTGACCTATTTTTGTATTTTGTTTTATTGAGAAAAGAAACTAAAAATTAAATCAAGAACAAACCCTAATTTTCTAATTGATTTTAAATCATTTACAAAAAATGTTAGAATTACCCTAAAATTAAATTTAACTAATTATTAAATTAAATTTGATGAAAATAATACCTAAATCTAAATTTGTGAAAATTGATTTTATGAGTTTTGTAAAAAAAGAATTAATTTTGTGGTTAGAAAATAATTAAATAAAAGAATTTAAATAAAAGGAAAAATATAAAAGGAAAAGAGATGGGCCTGGTGCTTTGAGCAAAAAAGGGGGTGTCAGTTGTAATTCTGGGCCCAAAACTCCTCTGCCCACGTTGACTTTCCAAATCCTGTGTTGCAAGCTTGACTAGGCCTATGATGGACCTCCATGAAGAAGGCATTGGATCTGCCTTATTGATGATCTGGTGGCTGGGTGCTGAGGGCATATGATGGACTCATTGCATGCACTTATACCTGATCAAGTAAAAGAAAACAATATAAAGCAAGTTTGGGGACCTGGGGATCGAACACATGCCCTTTGGCAATTTCCCTTGTACACTGACCATCTGAGCTAGCTCGCCTTGTTGTATACCTAATGACAAAATATGATTATATGAAAAAAAACGAAATGATGGATTATAAAACGCACGCAGTTTGAATTGGCCAGTCACAGGATGCCACGCTACCCTTCTTCTTCCTCCCACTGTTGCTAAAAGTCCAAAACTTTTACCTACGGACAAAGGGTGTAGGTGTAACCCCGGGCTTCTGCAAAATCCTGTACAAGCATGATAAATACACAACAATAGTACCAATCAACTCATGACAACTTCACGAGCATCATGGTACCCTTATCCATGGCCAGTTGTACCTGTAATGAAAAACCCAAAAAACGAGCCAAGAACCCTAACTATGGCATCTTGCTATACAATTAATAAAAATGTAATTGAACATAACCAATAGCTTGCAAATGATTCAAAGATAAAAAATATGTAAAGAAATCATGCTACAAATGCCAGAATCGTGATATTCGTTTTCAAAAAAGTATGAATGTCGTGAGATACTTACAACACGTTTCTGGGCACGAAAATGCTTGCTAATGATTGGAATGGGATCCTAGAATGTCCAACAAACGAATGGTGTGCTTGGAATGGCTTGAAGAAGCTTGGAATTGAGAAATCAGATTGCAACTTTTCTTTGAAATTTTGAGATTTGTTCTTCTCTTTTCACGCCTCCAATCCTTTGTTTTTGATATGCACTTGTTCTATATGTACCCTATAATGCATTAAGTTACAAACTTGCTTCAAATCTTTCTCCATTAAGATGATTGAATCATGGTTTGATTCTTATATAAATCTTTCCAAATCAAGCCAAATCCAATCTTTTTGTGTCCAAATGAAGCTTGCACGATTTGATTCCCTTTCCAGCTGTATAAGAGACCTAAACATGCACAAAATCTCAAGCTTTGATTAGTTTTGATATTTTCATGATTTTATTTTGATTTTATTTGATTTAATTGAAATAAAAATCAAAATAAATGACAAAAATGAAATAAAGACAAGTGGGAGAGATCATGGGTCGTGGGTCATTTTACAAACTCAATGCAAGCATAAAAAGTTGGGCCCATTTGACAAAAAATGCAATTTTGGGCACATTTGACTTTTGACAATTTTGCAAAAAGGGTCAACTTCACATGCATAGATCCTTCAATTTTGACCCTAGAGATGTGTTCTTTGAGTTTTTAGAAATCTTAATATGTCCTCTAAGAAACCCTTTTGGTCTCATCTCAAATGAATATTCCATGTTCATGTATGAAGCTTTGACAAAAAAGGTGTTTTTGTTGACTTTTCAAAATGACCTATAATGTCCAAATTTATATCTTCTTGTGAGTGCATATTTTGAACTTGGGAGCTGAAGATGGATTTTATGGAATTCCATCCTCTTAAAAATGAGCTTTGGATGAGTCATTTTTGATAAAATATGAGAAAGTTATGCTTGGTCAAAGTTGAGTTGACTTTTCCTGCAAAACCCTAATTTAACAACTTTTGGGTTTTGATGAATTATGAGCAATCCTTGATGAATCACGATCAACCCTTGATCAAATGATGAATAATACTTTAAAATGAGGATGTTGACCAAAAATCTTGAAGTTTGACTGTATATAGGACACAATTGACTTTTGCCCTAGCATAGTCAATTTTCAGGCCTTTGAGCAATTGACTGAGCAAACTTCCTCTGTAAGGCTTGAAAATTGACATGGATGATCTTGTGAACATATTAGGACAACGGTGAACATTTGGGATCCTTTGGACTCAAACATCTTGATGCAAACTGAAACCCTAATTTGAGGTAGACTGCCTTAGGAGAGAGTTTGTCTGGTCAACCCTTGGACTTCCTTAAGCAATTTGAGGACCTCACTTGAAATGTATTGAGAAATATGGGAGGGCAAATTTTAGAGTACAACAGTAGCATTCAGCCAATACTGCAAAAGCCAAAAAGGGCCTGAAAGAGCTAGGCCTTTGGGGTTTTCAAGGAGATTCTTTATCCTTGAAGCGACAACACGTCTGGTTGGTCTGCAACATAATGATCTTTAATATAGTTATTGAAACTGGCCCGGTTGAAGTGGACTTCGAGTTGGGTTGACAGGGTCAAGTTGAAAGTTTTGCCCGTAGGAGAGAGGCCACCAATGGTTGCAACGTTGAAAAAGGTTTGGGTTAGCATCCCATAAGGGAGATGAAAAGTGTTGGTCGAACATTCCCAGAAGAAAATCGACGTAGTAATCATACCAGGATTGATCTTGTGAGCATACCTTGACAATTGAACCACATCGAAAATGCCAGCCGCCTCCCATATTGCTTTCTTCTCACCCCAGACCTTGTCGATCCAGGCGATATAAGTCAGTTTTCTCGGAGTGGGCATATATTGAAGAGTCCTAACACCGAGATCAACGAACTTCATGTCCAAAGAGAAGTCTTGATCAAAAGCGAGGGGTTTAGTAGAAGTTAAACAAGGAAAAAACTTTTGAACTCGCTCTGGGGAAGTTTTCTTGGTTGGATATGGATCGTGGAAGACAAAAAGCTCTCCAGAAACATTTATTAAAATGAGCATCTGCCTCTGCCAAACCTCAACGGTGTCTGGGTCAAAAGATGGTGGTTATGGAATAACTGGTAAGCTCGCTGTATCTGTAAAATCAAAAGCCAGAGGGCTGTTGCCAGTGTTGATCGATGCAAGAGTAGAGGTTGTTAGTGTTGTCATTGTAATGAAGGTAGCCAATGAAAAAAACGTTTTCTGTTTAAAAAGAGAGTTGCAGGAAACAAAGGATTTATTGAGAAAACATAGAAAGCGAAGTGAGCAAAGGAAGAAGAAAGAGAATAGTGGTGGTGTAAACATCTATTTAAAGAAGATTAAACTTGTTTATTACTGACAGGTGGCATTTGATCCTACGACGATAAGATGAAGAAGTGGAAAAGTTAGTGGGAGTTGTTTAAAATCCACACCCTACAAACTAGGAATCATCATGAGATATGATTGATAAACATGTGAAACTGTTGCGCAGAAAGTGGTCATGATTACTCGTGACTCACTCCGAGAAGACGTGTCATCGAAAATAACACTAGATGAAAATGCCAAAGTTTTCCATCGATAGGAGTCTCCGTCGAACTTGACATTTTGGGGGGCAATTTGTTGACAGAGCATTTTCGACAAGAGAATAAGCCCTAAAGAAGAAGGTATCTTCTAAATGGGAAGACCCATTAAAGACTTGTTGACGAAGTTGTCACTTGGAGAGGAACGACTAGACGGGCCTATTGGGCAGCAAGGCGGGGTTGCCAACAAGCATGCCAAATTGGCGCTAAGAGAAGCTATGATCTTGCACGCTAGCAAGAACGTGAGGGGAAGTTATGAAGTTTTTTCACATGAAATCCCAACGTGGGAGAGTGTAACCGTCAACGGTTACATCTCTAGATTTTCTATTTAAGCACATAATTGTATTCATTCTGGAGGTCGCATTTCTTCACATTTAGAGCATTACACTCGAAGTACCCGCATCTAAGAGAGAAACGAGTTCAAGCTTGACAATGTATGAATGCTTCTACATTTAAATTCAAAGCAATTTCCCGTTTTCACTTTAAATTACAAATTTTGTCATTTATTTTATTTACTTTGTAATTGTCATTTACTTTTGCCCTTTTATCCTATATCAACCAGCTTCAACCTAAAACACTAAGTTTAGGATTATTGTAACCGATCCCACAAGTAACATTTAATAAGAGATTAGAGATTACTCACGAAAAGAATGAACAAATTTTAAAATATTGATAAACTTTAGATACATCTGTCGTCTCGTAAGTATTTGTGTGGTGCCCATTTACTCCCCCTTTATGCCACTAGAAGTTCCTCCACTTGAAATTCCAATGTTAAAGAATATGCAAAAATATGGATATGATCATTAGTCATACTTGTGTTATTTATGGTAGAACCACTAGACTTCTCTTGTTTACTATGTACACATTAATGAGCTTAATCGAACCATTGAAGAATATTGAATAATTATTGTCAATTTAAAAAAGATAAAAATAAGAAAAATTGACTATCATGACATACAACAAACTTAACTTATCATTTCATGCATCCACTTTAATTTAATGTCAGCGGCAGTGAGGGAGTTTGTATTGGTGAATTGAATTTGAAGTTTATGGCCACCGCTCAGCTCCTCTCTTCCCACCTTCATCCTCAGGTAAACCCACCTCATCCTCTTTTCACCTTTGAATTTCAAGTTTTTGATCATTTTCCCTCTCCCATTCCCAGATTACTCCGCCGCTACCATCCAAACTTATCACCAACAGATTTTGGAATTGCAACACCGATTCAACCAATAATCAAACTCCTCATTTTCTCAAAATGCAATTCCAACCAAATTCAACTCCAACTCCTATCTCTGAATCTCAACACAACAAAATTCCACATCTACTCACTGTTGCCGGTTCCGATTCCGGTTCCGGTGCTGGAATCCAAGCTGATCTCAAAACCTGTGCTGCTCGTAGGGTTTACTGTTCCACTGTTATTACTGCTGTTACTGCACAGAACACTCTCGGAGTTCAGGTCACTTCTCTCTCTCTCTCTCTCTCTCTCCAATTCTTTTTCATTATTATTATTTCTCAATTCTCTTTCAATTGTTAGGGTGTTCACATGGTGCCTGAAGATTTTGTTGCACAACAGTTAAATTCTGTGCTATCTGATATGAATGTTGATGTGGTTAGTCTTCAATTATTTTCCGTTCATATATTGGTTAACACATACCAAGCACGCACAGCGACACCGATAATATTTGAAAAAATTAATAAATTAAAACACTCGTTAATAATAGTTTTTCACTTTTCTGAATTTACTATGCTATGTCTCTAGGTCAAAACAGGCATGCTACCCTCTCTTAGTGTGGTGAAGGTCCTCTGTCAGAGTCTTAGGAAGTTTCCTGTCAAAGGTATTCATTCATTTGTACAAAAAATTTTAACATGTTTATTCATTTGCGAATTTGCGATTGGAGTGACTTATGTACTGGATTTGTTTTTATGGAAGGAAGCTCTTGTGGTTGATCCTGTAATGGTATCTACTAGTGGAGACATACTTGCCGGTCCTTCTGTTCTCGCTGGATTTCGGTATGAACTTTTGATTTTGAACCTCAACTATGCTGCATCTGTATGGCATGAAAATATTTTTATTTTCATCCTCGTTGGTACAATGCTGGATACATGGATATTTGATACAAATAATTTTGTAAAATTATTCGAGTTTATTAATAAAACTGTAGAGTATTGATTGTGCTTATTTCTTTGTTTCTGAATGCAGGGAGGAGCTGCTTCCCATGGCTGATATTGTAACTCCAAATGTTAAAGAGGCGTCAGCTTTACTTGGTGATGTGCCAATGAAGTCGGTTTCTGACATGCGTACTGCTGCAAAATTGTTACATGATTTGGGTCCTAGGTACGTTGCTGTCTAATGTATTGCAGTTTTTGGTTGTAGTCAATTTAAATCATGTTTTATAATTATCAGAGAAATCTCTCCAACAGAAAGCACTACATTTTAATGCAAATCTCATAGAAAGTATAAGTTCTAATGATGAAGTTTGATGATCTCTAGGAAAGAGTGTGATTGTTTGATTCAATATCTACCATGGTACTATTGACCTGAGTAGTGCTTTTGGAGTGTTGTTTATAGTGACCCGCTCATAGTGCACTGTTGAATTGTTTTCCTTGAAGTAATGGTGCTCACTTATTGTGTTTGCTTTATATTAGCAGAGATTTCTGGTGGTGTTGTATGTTCAAGTTATGAACAGATGCCACACTTAAAATTTTAAAACTCCCAACTTGAGAGTTTTGTGCTTTTACATGTAACCAATTTTCATTGCAGGAATGTACTTGTCAAAGGTGGTGATCTCCCTAATTCTTCGGATGCTATTGATGTATTTTTTGATGGTAAGATTAAATTCTTTAATTCTCGAAGAAACAACAGCCAAAACAAAATCTTTGAAATACAAACAACTTTTTTTTCTTCTACTATTTGCAATGTATACCCAAATCTTTGTTAAAGATGAACTTCATTTCTTGGTCTTGAGTTTTGCAGGTCAGGAATTCTATGAGCTTTCTTCACCACGTGTAAATACTCGCAATACTCATGGCACTGGTTGTACTTTGGCATCATGCATAGCAGCAGAGCTGGCAAAAGGTTCATCAATGCTTTCAGCGGTTAAGGTTTGTTCAGTTGTCTCATTTCACATAAATATTGGAGGACCTATTTTTCCATGACCATGATTCTTCTCTCTCCTTTTTACTTTAAAAATACATTAGTGAAGAGAAAATGAAAGTAGAAGATAGAATGCATTATCGTTCTAACACTTGTACATATCTGGACTCTGGCAGATAGCTAAACGTTTTGTTGAGTCTGCATTGGATTACAGCCGAGATTTGGTCATAGGAAATGGAGCCCAAGGTCCTTTTGACCATTTTTTGGCATTTAAGAATATCAGTCAGAGCTCTTGTAGGCAGGATAGGTTCAATCCTAATGACTTATTTCTATACGCTGTAACGGATTCTCGCATGAATAGTAAGTGGGGCCGTTCTATTACTGAAGCAGTTAAGGCGGCTGTAGAAGGGGGTGCTACCATTGTCCAATTAAGGTTTGCTACATGTTCTTTTTGTTATACTAATTGCTACATGACTTATTTTCCCATATTTTCTTCTCTTTTATCCCCTCTCCCTCTTAAAAAAAAGCATAGTGCAGAGTCAGATGTTCAATTTCTGACCTAATTAGTTGAACTTCAGTTGACAATATTACACCAGACATCTTTTACTATTATTGCGGGTCTAGATTTCTTTTTTCTTCTCTTCTGTAATTCCTCCATAAAGTGTATGATATATCCTACTTGTTTCTTGCTAAGGATACCTGTTTTATATTCATTTGTATTACTACATACGCATCTTGTGGTAAGTATGTTATGCAAACTTCACCGTGGTTCTGTCTTTTAACTGTTTGAATTCAGTTATGGTAGTAACCATGTTCTCATCCTTCCTTTGGTTTTATCTTAACTAGCCTTAACCAAACTATCTCTGGTTGGTCATTAAACCTCGTCCTTTGCTTGAAACATATATTGTCTCATAGTTGGAGCAATGTTAGACTATCCTTTAAAGGAAAATATTCCCATGTGACGATAATTCCTTTTGTGCCTTGATTACCAAATTATTTACTGAATTCTAGTAATTCATATTGCTTTTTTTCCACTCATATTGCTTTTCCAGGGAAAAGGATGTTGAGACACGGGACTTTGTTGATGCTGCCAAAGTATGCCTTGAAATATGTCGTTCGTATGGAGTACCTCTGCTTATAAACGACCGTATAGATGTGGCCCTTGCTTGTGATGCAGATGGTGTTCATATTGGTCAGTCTGACATGTCTGCACGTCTTGCTAGAACTCTCCTTGGTCCTGAAAAGATAATTGGAGTATCATGCAAGACACAAGAACAGGCACATCAAGCATGGATAGATGATGCTGATTACATTGGCAGTGGTGGTGTCTATCCGACTAACACAAAGGCAAACAATCGTACTATAGGCTTAGACGGGTTGAGAGAGGTGTGCAAGGCCTCTAAACTGCCCGTTGTTGCAATTGGTGGCATTGGTATGTCAAATGCAGGTGATGTAATGAAGCTTGGGGTACCAAGTCTCAAAGGGGTTGCTGTTGTGTCTGCTCTATTTGATAGGGAATGCATTTTGACCGAAACAAGAAACTTGCATGCCGTAATTAGTGAGGCAGCATTGTTGCCACAATGAACATACTGCAGTGTAGGAGGAATTTAATTTTATTAAAGAAGTGCTTAGTGAAGAGTCCTAATTGTCTTCATCTTCAATGGAAATACAAGATTTCAGAAGACTCTTTGCAGACTATGCTAAGCTTGTAAATGCAAATTTTGAATAAAATGAATGTGTAATGCTCAATACCCGGGCTGGACAACAACATATTTGGTTGTTCATACGATTGCCTTTGTTCAGTACATGCTTGAATCATAGTAAGAATGAGTGTTCAGGGAATTACGCGCATATTTGTTGTTTTATTCATGTAGACCCATTTGACAGACATTGAGCTGCCACCTTCGTCAACAAAAAACAGTTGAGGGATGATAATTGAAAACAAAACCAAATGGAAAGATTAAACAGACTCAAGGATATACCATACAAAAAAAAAAAACATAGAAAGAAGAATATGATGGAGCACAAAAAACATAACTTAATACTTATAGTATGGTCAGAACAAATGTTTAAATTAATTTACAGCCATTATTTAAGTATATTATGCTCTGAAGAAAACTGAAACACGAGAACAAAACACACCTGCGCTAATTGAACTTAACTAAAGAGCAAAGGAAACCAAAAATCTATTACTCTGTCTAAATATAAACATTTCTTTGTTTGATATTAGTTGAAATTGAATTCTCTACTTTCATGTGCTTCCTTGACTCTCTTTTCATATTCATCTTCTTCCACCTCTGCCTCGGCTTCTTTTGTTTCATCGTTATCTTCTACTCCTCCCCAGCCAAACCCCCCAATTGACCTAGACACTTGAGGCGGGGATTTAGCTTCCTCAACAATACTCATAATGTCTTCAATGCTCTGAAGAGAATAAGTTGGATTTTCTTTTTTGTAGTAAACAGCTTGAGCCATTTCGGTCAATTCTCGAGGCAAATTCTTTAAAAACCATGCATGAGACTTGATTTCCTTGATGGTGATTCTCTGCAGTAAATCAAAACACACAATAACATCTTAGTAAATAAACAATAGTAACTCTATAGTTGTCTGTTAAACAACAGAGGCTGTGCATACCCTAGCTGGACTTGCCACGAAAATGTGAGACAGCAGATGTTTACAATCTTCAGATAAATGAACATAATCCGGAAACTTGTATTGAATAGCCATAATTTTCTGTATATGAATATAAGAGTCAGAAAGAATATATGTTTTATAAACATATGAATTAAGATGATGGCGAGAATACTACATTAATGGTTTTCCTGAAATTTTTGGGATCGTCTGGGTCCTCAAATGGGTATGCTCCCACCAGCATTACATAAAGAGTCGCTCCACATGACCATACATCTGCCAACTGAACAGGATACAAAAACAAAATAGAAGAACTAAGAAAATGACAACACATTTTGAATCTTATTCGGAGCAAGTAGCTGAATTATTTACCTTTCCATCATATTCTTTACGTGAAAGAACCTCTGGTGCTATGTAAGCTGGAGTTCCCACTGTTGATTTAGGCCTAGAATGCAGCAGAGAGGACTAGAAAAAGAAAATGTTGTTAGAAGAAAAACTTGTCAAGTATGAGTTGATTAGTTAATTCAAAGCATTTGACATTGCAATGAATCCAAAAGTGAACCTTAGAATAACCAAAATCGCAAATTTTGAGGCGTGGGGCAGGGTTACCGTCCAATAACGTGTTCTCAAGTTTCAAGTCGCGATGGCAGATTTGCTGCAAAAGAGGGAGAATTAGAAACAGAAATAATGAAGATATTGGAATAGTAATGATTGGTAGATATAGTTACCATGGAATGGCAGTAGCTAACTCCTGAGATGAGCTGCTGGAAGAAATATCGAGCCTGAAGTGATAGAATATTTCAGAAGTTGGTAGTTAAGAATATCTCAGGGATGAAAGAGAGGTGAGAGGAAATGAACCTCATCTTCACTGAATCTTCCGGCAGAGACAATTCGCTCAAAGAGCTCTCCACCAGCAGCATACTCCATAACTATACCAAGATGAGTAGGAGTCAAAACCACCTGCAAAACTGAAATGTGATCTTAAACAAAACCACCTGCAAAACTGAAATGTGATCTTAAACAAAACCGAAACCAATTAATAAAAGAATATACAAACCTCCTTGAAGCGAATAATATTAGGATGACGAAGACTTCTATGGTTAATTATTTCCCTAGCAACATTCTCATCAATCTGAAAAGAAGAAAAAATCAAAAAGCAAAGACAGAGATTGAAGTTGTTAATTGAATTAAAAATTACCTTGTGGCCTCGTTGAATGAATTTCATGGCAACGAGTTCATTGGTATGTTTGTGACGCATGAGTCTAGCAACACCGAAATTCCCAGAACCTATATCCTTAACCAGCTCGTATTTCTCCATCACCGAATCCAAATTAAGAGGATAGGGATACCTGATTAATGCACCTACAATTTCACTTTCACGACATCATCATTCCTTTTCTTATACATTAACTTATGTCAGGGGTATCTTATCAAATAGGTTAAGAATCAGATTATATATTCTCCCAAAACGTCTTGCTACATGCTTCTTTTCTTATTAGCCTCAAATTAGGTCAAATCACTTTTTTTATTACACTCTAGCTTTTTAAATGTCTTTCGTAAAAGATTTTTATACGTTAACAAAAACAATTATATATTCTATCTTTATTAAATTACTCTTATTAATTTATTAGAAGAAATGTTTAGAGTAATAATTATATGATAGAATTGAAAAAATTATTACTATTACTAAATTGAAAAATGATAATGACATTCATTTTGAAATAATTTTTTTCTCTAAAACGATATTTATTTTGAACCGAAAGAATATACTATTAGAGTTTGAAGAATTAACTTATTATCTTAAAATTAAACTTGACACTCTCGAACAAAATTTAATATAAAAAATGCTCTTTGTAAAAAAAAAAAAAATGTTCGAATTAAATTTTTGGTATGGTGTTAGAAATTTCGTGTATGAATTAAGTTTTGAAATTTTTTATAAGTTGCAATTAATTTTGGAAATTTTAAAATTGCAACAAAAAAAAAAGCTCGGAAAATTTCAAAATTGCAAAATTGTTGGTAAAATTCTGGAAATTTCAAAATTGATAGTAAAATTTCTCCAAAATTTCAAAATTGCTGATAAAATCTTCCAAATATTTTAAAATTGCTGATAAAATCTCCCAAAAATTTAAAATTTTTGATAAAATTCTCACTTTTTTTGAAGAATTTCCGGTATGTGCTTGAAATTTCCATAATCGCCTGAGAGATTTCAATTTTTTTGGTGGAAACTTTAAACGAGTTTAATATGGTCTTTTCATTTCATTTTGGGGGGTGCCAGGAACAACTTTGAGGGTGGTAAGTTAACTTCTCTTAGGGTTTCGTTTAGAACACGTTGGGTAAGCTCATTTAATGTTTTTGTTATTGGGTCATCAACTATTTAAGGGTTAATTTAGGTCAATCACATTTTTAAGGCAGTTTCTTGTATTTTAACACATCAAATAGAGCATCATAAACTGTAATTTAAGGTAAAGTTTTCTCATTTCATCCCTCATTGCTTGCATTAATCTTTTGTTTGAGTTGAAAAAACGTTCGCTTTGTCCGGATATACATATCTGAACTCACCTATATTATTTCAGATATGTATATCCAAATTTATTTGTTACTAGTTTTTAAGAATTTTTCTGTTTTGGTTCTTATTGGATATGATTCACCTAGATATATTTCCCAAAGTTGTTGTACGTATCGATGTTAAAGTAGATGAAGTTAAGCAGGATGTTAAATCGGAAAAAGTGAAGGATGATCTTAAATAGATAGAGATAGACGCTGATCAACACTTCATAAATGAATAACTGTATACTGCTTGAGAACATATGCTTCAATGAGTCTGTATGGTAGCCATGAATTTGGGGTTTTACATTATAATTAGAAGGTATGACAATGGTTCAAATAGAAGACAAGCATTTGTAACCATGAGATGCGAGAGAAGTGATACATATGTTCTCCCAATTCTAAAGTTGAAATGTGATGACACTAGAACGAGAAAGTGTGGTTGTTCGTCTAAACTGCACGAATATTGTAGCGTGGATGAAATATGGAAAGTTAATGTGCTTTCAAGAATACATAACCATGAGTTACAAACAAAGTTAGTCAGTTATCCCATCATATGTCATCTTAAATCGGAGGATAGGGAAATTATTTCAAAGATGTCTTTAATAAGAGTGACGTCGAAGAACATACTTGCAGATTTGAAACGGAAACACTCAAAAAGAGTTTCAAATATCAAGCAGATATACAATCAGCATCATCGAAACAACATGGTGATAAGGGGTCGAATATATGAAATGCAACAACTTTTAAAGCTTTTTGATGAAAACCACTATGTTTTTAGGTACACAGTATGTGACAATAAAGTCATTGTTCATGACATTTTCGGGACTCATCCCAAAAATATCAAGTTGTTCAACACATTTCCTATTGTCCTCGTTATTGATGCAATGTACAAGAACAACAAGTATAAGTTTCTACTTCTTGAAGTTGTTGGTGTCTTAGTTGTAATTTCGACGCCTGGGAAGGTGTACAATATCAAGTAATTATTTAATGAAGACAAGGTAATTTTAACTAGGAATTAGATGAAGATTTCGACTATAGAGTTTAACGCAAAAGTACCATATTAGCGAAGTGATATCACTCTGAGACTTAGTAGATTTCTTGGACTTGGTTCAAAAGAGAATTCGACAAAGATAATTTTAAATGAGGCTAATGACCTTATTTTGGCCTTATTTGTTCCTCGAAAGAGACACATGGAAGTTTGTGAAGGGTGAAGCCATGCAAGTGAGAACGTGTCATTTTCTGGAGAAAAGATTGTTCGTGACAGTTACTATCAAATTAGTATAAATACAGGTCTTAGTATTAGGATTTCGTGTATTCAATTATACCAAATTCAAAATCACTCAAAGTATCTAAGCGTGTTTGAGAAAAGAGTTTTATGAGTAATATGTACGTACGAAACACTTTATTTA